GCCGGGCTGGGGCCACACCAGCTGGTAAATTCGCGCGGCCCAGGCTCGCCTTCTCTCCGCTCGGCCCCCCAGCCCCCATTTTAAAGTTTTATCCGGGTCACTGTGTTAATTTAGGACATATACGTGAAAATGAATGGAAATAAAATAACCGCATGGATCTTGCAGAAAATATCTGCCGAGCGAGCTGGGAGCGCCTGGCGTTGGAGGCCTCCCCGGATTCCTGCTTCTGGTCTGGCCTCAGCCCCACGCCGCCGGCCAGGAATCCCAAGAATCGGAGGGGAACTGGGTGGTCATTTTCCCTTTCCTCCCGCGCCTCCTCCGCATGGGGCCCAGCACTTTGCAAGTCAGCTGGAGCCCTGGCGGCACTGCCCAGCCCTCGGCCCGGGGGAAGGCCTGGCGGAGGAAGTTTGTGGAAGTGTGAGGGTTTAGTGAGGTTTGTTTTGTGATTGTGTGCGATTGAGCATGTGGGCTCGGGATGTGTTTACTTGGGGGATGTGAATCTGTGTGTTTATAAGCCAATGTGTGAGTGTACACTGGTATGAATAAATGTGTCTGGCAGGGAGTGTGAATCTGTGTTTACTTGTGAGTGTGTGTGAACATGAATGCATGCATCTGGGCATGAAGTTGGGATGTGAGGACGCCTGTACGTGTACTTGTGAATATATAAAGATGAGTGTTTCTTTGTGGCTGTGTTTGACCATATATATTTCTTTATAGGTGGCGTCAGCCTATAAATATGGGATGGTGTGCGTTTGTGTGTAAAAAATGTAAAGGGAACGTGTGTACGATGTTGGAGTTCACTAGTTGGCAGCCCCCAGAGCCGGGGCACCAGGAAAAAGAACAGACACGAAATAGGCCAGCATCAGCCGGCACCGCGGAGGGGTGCGGGGATGCATGGCTAACCCTGACCCCCTCCCAGCCTTAGGGAGACAGAAAATAGAGCATCCGTTTGTTTTTAAATTGTGTTTTATTTCTCCTTTCTTCAGATACACACAGAATGTAAAGAGGACCACAGGGCAGGCAGGAGCAGGGAGCGTTGGGCAGGGCAGGTGCACAGAGAGGACAATGGAGCTAGTCGGTGGGTCCTTGGGGCTCCCTAAGGCCCCTTCAGTGCCTCTACTGGGAAGGTGGGCTCATGAGGGCAGGGGAACAACACGTTAATCCAGACCCACAGACCACAAAGGACAGCGTCAAAGAAGGGGGCTTACAAAACAGCAACATTTTACAAAGACCTTACAGTTAGCGACATAGAAAAGGGGAGGCAAATTCCAGAAAGCTATAGAACAGGTAGGCGACGTCCTTCCCATACTGTACAAAACAAACCCGGCGGACTTTTCTATAGGTAGTTTTTGTTTTCAGTGTTAAGAAACCAAAATTTCACCTTCTCTCCTTAAACAATTTTTTTAACTGTTTTCCATTTAAATAGGGTTTCCTCCCCTATTTGATCTGAGTTTCCTGGTTCAGTCCCCAAAGCTGGGCTTCTCCCTCTCTCCCCTCCTCATCTCTCTCTTCCTCCACCCGTTCTCCACCCCTCACTCTTCCTCGTCCTCCTCAGCCTCAGCCTTGTCCTGGTCAGCGGTTCCGGGGCCCGCCGTCTTGTTCTCCTTTTTCCACTTCATGCGGCGGTTCTGGAACCAGATCTTGATCTGTCTTTCCGTGAGGCAGAGCGCGTGCGCGATCTCGATGCGCCGCCGCCGCGTCAGGTAGCGGTTGTAGTGAAACTCTTTCTCCAGCTCCAGGGTCTGGTAGCGCGTGTAGGTCTGGCGGCCTCGCTTGCGGTCGGTCCCTGCGCACAGTGTTTAGAGAAAAATCAGCGCGTGCAGGGGAAAAAGCCAGGAGCCTGCCCGTCTCCCTCTTAGACCTTGTGTGTGGTTTGGAGATTTGAAGTCAGTGGTTGGAAGAGCCCATTTTCCCATTAAACCAAATTTTCACTTTCCATACCCCAGCCCATGCCCACCCTCTTCCTCCGTGTGCAGACATTTCTACAGGCCTGCGCAGGCAAACATTCCCATTTTCCAGCTAAGAAATCTTCCAGGCTTGGGCTTCTGAACCCAACCTCTAAACTGCTGCCTGTTAAAGGCCCAGGGCCGAAGGGGTGTATGTGGGACGAAGGGACCTTAATCTTTCCATCGCCTTCAGGACTAGGGACCTCCAGCCCTTGGATGCTGGCTCTGATGGCCTTTGGGGTAGGGGGCAATGGGAACCATGTGAGTGACCCCAATATAAAGCACTAGGCCTGGCCTGAGTGCTTTTCCCCAAAAGAAAAGGAGACAAAGGACCCTCATATGTCCAGTCCTTTCCCGCCCCCCCCCCCCTTGTGGAATGAGGAGTTGGTGAGAATTCACAGATTTCCTTGGGGCATGGAGTTGGTCTGAGAGCAGCTGCCCTCTGATGACTATTTTCCAGTGAGTGGCAGAGGTCTTACAGGGACAGGCCGTCCTGCCTGCCCACCTTCCCCAACAACCTAGCTCTCCAAAGCAATCTTTCAGCCTCCAGGAAAGCACAGGGGAGAGTACAGACAGCAGCCTGGGTTGGGGGTAGAACAGAAAGCATTTGGATGATGGGGGCTGAGGGGCAGAGGAGAGCTTCGCAGGTTAGGCCCCAAACCCTGAGGAGGCTTGGGGGAGGTTGAACTGGGGGAGGTGCTGGTGCCAGCCCGCCAGGGAAGAAGCTGGTGGGAGGAGAGGCTGGGGGCCCTAATTTCAAGTCAGATAAAAGCCAAGCTGAAATGTTTACGAGCAGAAAAATTGGGACTTTGATAAATCAACTGGAAAGGCAGTTGAATTATGGAGCAGGTAATGGGGACCGTGACCACCAATACTGATGGGGTAGGAGCTGGTCTTCTCCTGGCCCTCAGCCCTGGCTGGATTGGGAGCCTCTGACCACAAGCCTTGGGCCTTCCGGACCTTGGGGTTGACCGCTGAGCCCGGGCAGCATTAGGAAGAATGCCTGGGAAGGGCTTGTCAGGAAACCCCATGGAGCACCTGGTCTCTTGGGGTTCCTACAGCAGCTGGCTTAGTGGTCTGTACTTTCGAGCTCTTGATTTGGCTCTATAAAGTCCCAGTGCCTCCCCCAAGAGGACAGCACCCTTCTGGAATAATACCTGCAAACTTGTTGGCCAGTTCTCCAGGGGGGTCGGGGGGCCCTAGAAGGGCACCTGAGTAAGCCCGTTGTACTCAACATGAGGCCTCTGCCCCTTTCTCTCCTTCTCCTGCCTCCCCCTTCCCAAGTTCACTGGGGGGTCAGGAGCCTCATCTCTCTTGGCCTCAGCCTGCCCCCTCTCTCCACCTGCCTCTCTGGCTCCGTGTCCCAGGCTGGATCCTAATCTCTCATACCCCTTCCTCCCGCCAGGCCTCCAGAGCCCACCTCTAATTGTCCAGAAGGGAATAATGCGGGAGCAGGGTTGGCTGGGAAGGAAGGGGGAGGGGAGAATTGCTCATCGCTGCAGCCCCCTCCCCTAGACCTTATCCAAGCCGAGACTGGGGGACACACCCAGAGCTGCGATCCCCAGCGGGGGTAAGGGGGCGGGGAGGGGGGGGAGAACCCTAATGGCTATTCTCTGCAAACCCTAGCCTTCCTCCGCAAGACAAACGGCCTCTTCCCCGGCCTTTGCGGGCGCGGCTGATAAATATTTAAAGCTAAAAGGCTGAGAGGAAGGGTGGGGGGCGAGCTGGGGGATCCGAGCGCTGGGCCGTTGGCGGAGAGAGCGCCGCCGGGAAGCAGAGCGAGCCTGAGAGC